TATGCAATTCTAATGCGCAAGTATGTTTGCGTGCAAATAGTTAGTGCGCATGCATGCCGGACAAATAGCCAAACTGTTATAAAATCCAGAACCGGTGCCGGAACAATATCCACGGTGTATATAGAATTGACCGTCTTATAACCCACTGGAGACGGGATACCTAATCCGTAGCATTAGCCTAACGGCTGACATGTTATGGTTATGTGGCAGTATGTTGGGTCACACAATGCAAGTTCAGTGATTCTAGACATAACCAAGCACCTACTTTTATACAATTTATATTCGTAAAAATGTGGCAGTGCATGCAGAGTTCTAACCAAACCCTCATTGCTACCATTATTAGGCTGAAAACTTCGCTCCAGAGGCAGTCTTGACGCCTATCCACAATGGTTTAGGACACTGTTCTTTGTACAAAGTGAAAGAATGAAGATTTAAGTAGATACATAAAAGCTTTATCCACTAAAGGCCCTATCACGCCTTCCGTTAATTTTTGTGGTTCTTGATCTTATGCTATAGATAATGTATACAGTTAGAATGTCATTTTATTGATAAAATAGATAAAAAGGTAATATAAACATAAGCTAATATTCTTGAATATTTCTATATACAATATCATGATTATATTTCTTTTAAATATCAGGATATATATGAGAATGCTTGTGTGATTCCCAGCACCATACTCGGATGCAGCCACGTTTTTTACATGGGCACTTTATTTGCTGCCTTGGGAGTATGATAGGGTCAGTCCATCAGCATAATTAAAGATCATTTGGAAAAGTGAATATTGACTGAAATAGTGCTCGTGTGACAAGCCCTTCAACAGCTGATGTGGTGTATACAGACTGGGAGATGAAGTCATCTTAAACTATTCTTCGATGATCATGTGTATTTCAGATTGGTATTTTTTATGAATGTTCATTTATTATTATTGTTATTACTATTTTTACTTTACCATTTCAGCCTGGTTCTGACATCTGGTCTTGTATTTGAGTTTTTTTAATGCTTAATTTGTAGAGTATTTAGAGATGGATATCATGATTAGATTATCAAGGAGTCAAGTGTGTTTGCTATAAAGTTTTAGTTCCAAATCGTATATCACCGTGAAGAATTAGAAATTATCAATTACTGTTTTTATTTTCTAGTTATAGTGGATCAAATGTCCATAAATCTGTAGATATACACTATACTAATACTGCTTGAGATATTTAGGTTTATGTATATTTCTTTACTATATCTGTAATTACTATATATTAATTGATTAAGTCATCTTGTTTCTTTTGTTCCCAGCAGATGTCAGGATGGACAGCAGTATTTATACCATAGTGAGAGCTGGGACTAAGAGTTGGGATTTGATTGAAGTAAATTCACACCATGCTATATCTAGAAAGCTGGATAGCTTAACCTGTGATTCAGAATACCTTGAAGCAATTAAATCACTCAAGCCAAGGAAAAAATACATGAATGAAGGTTTACACTTCTGTGTTTTCTTAAAAGAGTTAAAGATTTCAAAAACTTTCAGGTCCTCTTTCATTAGTCGTGCCATGTCTCAGAATGTGCACAAAAAAACTCACTCAACAAAAAATGAAAATATACCAAATATAATCTTATGGACAATATGTGACAGCATACCACATATTATTGACAAAGAATGGTGTGTTCGGATGAATGAATGTGCTGTTGACCGTCAGAATCTAGACACAGTCATGTCCTGGCTGTCAACACTAGGAGGTGCCTGCTCAGCCCTAGGTGATTATGACACTCAGTTTGCAAAGAGGGCGGGTGAAATATCCGTTAAGCAAATGGAAATCGCCCTGCGTCTTGGTGACCCATTTGTGATGTCTCGATGCCGTCTCTATTTAGCTATATCTATGATACAGCAAAGAAGATTCAAGGTATGACACATTTCCATAACCCATTTTGTTCTCTTTTTGTTTCAGAATTTATGAATTTTATTGTGTGTGTGTGTGTGTGTGTGTGTGTGTGTGTGTGTGTGTGTGTGTGTGTGTGTGTGTGTGTGTGTGTGTATTGTGTGTGTGTGTGTGTGTGTGTGTGTGTGTGTGTGTGTGTGTGTGTGTGTGTATGTATGTATGTGTGTGTTTGTGGTGTGTGTGTGTGTGTGTTTTGTTTGTGGTGTGTGTGTGTGTGTGTGTGTGTGTGTGTGTGTGTGTGCGCATGTGTGTGTGCATGTGTTCCCACTAGGTTGTTCTTACCAGGTTGTTTCAATATGGGAGAAGAGCCAAGCTTCTACAATTTTTTTAATTGATGCACAGTTGTGGCAAACACTACGTGTTTGGGGAGACTGTTCCACTCTTCAGTAGTTCTGTTTGGGAAACTATATTTTTTTGACATCTTTATCACCTCTTTTTACTTTGAACTTTTTGTTGTGTCCTCTTGTTCTTCTTGTGTTCAAGATCAAAAAGTCATCTTTATCTATCTTCACTCTTCCTGTAATACAGTTGAACAGCATAATCATGTCCCCCCCTTTTCCTTCTTTCTTCCA